AAATACGACGAATGAAGGGGAGTGGATTGGAAGGTATGGATTAGGAATTGGATGGAGTTGTCGTATATAAGGGATGAGGAGGCATTGTCTAATATAGAGAGTTGGATGGTAACTACGAGCAAACATTTGGATGGGAATAAATTGGAAGGCATGGATAAGTGATTGGATGTGTTATATAGGGGGTGTTATGGTAATGTGATATATAGGGAATTGGATGGTAATGACGAGCAGGGGATTATAAGAGAATGTGATAAGGGGAAGGGAGGAAATTGATTATATTGAAGGTTTAAAAAATCACGAACAACTTAAAAGCCAATAAAGGCAGTTAGAAAAAAAAAACAATACACGAGTGATTTAGGGGAAGAGTTTAAGTAGAAGGGACTGGTGGTAGGCGAGAAGACAAACTAAACGAGTGGCAGTGGTTCAAGTCCGATTAGAACGTATGGGATTAGATGTGGAGTGTAAGATTAGAGAGGTTGAAAGAGACAAGAGAAGAGAGAGAAAAACAATGAGGATGACGTAATGCAGAGGACTACTTCATTTAAAACATCGGGATGATTGTAATTGAACAAATAGATAATGAGAGGTGTTAAGGAAGGAGAATCAATGTATTGATGAATTGGAGCATTTGAAAGATATAATCATATAAATAATTGAGTCCACATATCTAGTAACATTTATATTATATATGCGTATATATATATATATGTATATATATATATATATATATATATATATATATATATATATATATATATATATATATATATATATATATATATATATATATATATATATATATATATATATTTATATATACACGTTTATATATGTATACATGTATTTAGATGAATAAAGCTATATATATATATATATATATATATATATATATATATATATATATATATATATATATAAACTATTCAATGAATTGTGTGTAAGTACCTCCAAGGGCTCCACACAACACGGCCTCCCCCCCCCCCCTCACCCCCTCTGACCCACAGCTATATTACCTTACCCTTTTTAATGGCCGCTTCCTGGCCAGTTTTATTGATTGAGAGCTTGTTATTGGCCAACAAGTAGAATGATTGTTGCCGGCTTGGCTGATCTAAGAGCCTTTTAAACCCAACTCTCGTAGGGCTGCGAGAGCTGGAAACGAGAAGTGAGAAATGTAATGGGGAATTGGGAGGGTGTAAAGTGAAACCTACGGGAACCGCGATGGAAAAAAATAAAAAGAGAAATGAATGTTGGGCTATGCGTGTGAATTGATAAAGGTTTTATTACGATTCCAGTAAGATTCACTTTTAGTAGTAGGTTTATACTGAGTAGGTTGTGTTTTTCTGGTTAGAAAGCTTGGACTAGATTTTATGTCAAATGAATTGTGGGTAGCTGGATATGGTGGGGTGGGTCAAACCATCTCTCGTCTATCTATGGGGTAGTAGCATGGTATAGCGGTAGATTTCGTAAGTGCTAACCAGAAAGACATGAGTTCGGGACCCACGGACTAATTTAACAAAAAGTCACATCATATCTCCCCCCCCCCACACACACATACACTTACCCTCACTCAATGCTAATCTCATTTGCAAATAAACACCTCCCCCTCCCCATTTAATATCATATACACGCACACTCGACGCTATGCTAAGCACAAACACATGCTGTCCCTCAACACGAACACACACACACCTGCACAATTACACATTCTAAACACGCATACACCTTCCCCTCAGCACATACACTAAACACCCCCACTCCCCCCGGTCTTATTCTTAAAAAAAACCCGAAACACTCCTACCGAAAATGTATGTTGTGAAGTCCTAGCACGCGTCATAAAGAAATGATACCACTGATCAAAAGGTGGAGTTGGTAACAATTTATTCCAATCGTAGGCAAAGTGTGGTAGAACCAGAGGCGTAGCGACCCTTCCCGGCGCCCGGGGACAAACTTTTCGATTTGCACCCCCCCCCCCTCGAGATTTTGATTTGCACCCCCCCCCCCTCAAACTTTCTATTTGCACCCCCCTCAACCTTTCAACTTATTTTTCCAACCCATTTTGGCGCCCCCTAAGGTCGGCGCCCGGGGACATATGTCCCCCCGCCCCCCCCCCCCTCTCTACGCTACTGGGTAGACCTGATGCTGATGTAGCTTCTCGTTGCGCTATTTGATGAGGTATGGGAAGGCTTTAAATATTTTACAAAAAATCAGTATAATGGTTAAACAGAAAGCGATTTCAACTAGTTCTGAAATAGTTTCACGTACATCATAAAATAACATTCACAAATGCAGATTATTTTAATTCCAATTCTTTGGTCATTTCATCTTACCTGTTGGGACCATACGATAGATGAAGTAGAGTTGACCTGTTTCTGTGATCTCATCATCTCACTTTTGCAAACTCTGCTTATTTGATCGTGTCTCTTTCTCCCCCACTCCCATTTTTTCCCTCCCTTTCCCAACACAACTTAACAGATTATAACTCACATTATCTTTTTCTATTGATTTATGGCGGCTGTTTTATTGGGAGGTTTCTTTTTATTAGTAAACTTGTGTGATTAGATTTGCCCTAATATTTTAAATCAATTCTATCATCTTAAGATGATACTTTTCATATTTAGTTGTTTTTTTTTAAAACTAGTATTAGGCTATCAGATGGGACGGCGGGGCCTAACGGTAGAGAGGTAGACTGTTAACCCAAGTTCAAATCCGGGTTAAAGTCAGAGGAAAATCCCTGAGTCCACCCCAGTGGCGTAGCGAGGTCGGGTGTCACCCGGTGCGGCACTTAATGGTGTCACCCCCCCAGAGGCGTAGCGACCCTTCCCGGGGACAAACTTTCAAATTTTCGATTTGCACCCCCCCTCAAACTTTCGATTTGCACCCCCCCCCCTCAAACTTTCGATTTGCACCCCCCCCTCAAGTTTTCGATTTGCACCCCCCCCCCTCTCAAACTTTTGATTTGCACCCCCCCCCTCAACATTTTCTCCATATATTTTGCTATTTTTTGCCTTGGTGTCACCCCCCTAAATGGTGTCACCCGGTGCGGTCCGCACCCCCGCCCCCCTCCTCGCTACGCCCCTGGTCCACCCAGCTCTGATGGGTATCTAACTCACGTTAGGGAAAGTAAAGGCGGCTGGAATTTTTTTATTTAGGGTATCAGGGATGGAGATTGTTAAGGTGGTGTAGATGACTATTTGTGCAAATCAAAACTATACCGGTTTGTTCAGCAATATTAAGTTACATAATACTTAAATATTTGTATATTTTAATAGAACAAAAAAGAAATCTTAAGAAAGTTGGAGTGCAAATTCGATATTGTTATTTTTTAAATATAATTCTGTTTTCTTTAGTAAAATTCGCGATTTGCCTGAATAAAATGATAAATATGTATAAATGATTAAAACACAAATGCCTAAAGGATATTTGTTTAAATTGTTGTTTGTTACTTTCTCCCTTCCCCCCCCCCCAATATTTAAGTTTAATTCTAGACAGCATGAGACATCCCTTAAAAACACAACAACGGCACTGGGGAAACGCTTATAGCTATTTAAAGGTGGAAATAAATCTGAATGAAAGATAGAACGACAATGAAACTGGCCGGCAATTTCCCTGGCCATCCTGCTAATACCGGGCCATCCTGATAAAACCCCAAAATCGAACACGGCCAATCGCCTCGGCAATTTTATGCAAATTACACTTATCGGTATCGATTACGTGTTAATTTGTCAATAAGAGGTGAAGAATCGCCTGTCCGATTACCAGCATGCAATGGTGCCGTAGTGACGCAAGCTGTGATAGGAAGGGGGGTGGGAGTAGGGGGTTGAAGGGGGGGAGGGGGGGGGGGGTGTTTTTGTTTACGTCAGCAAAAATAGACACAGACTGGAAATATCCAAACACAAATAAAGAATTGATTGATTTCTCTCACAATGAAATCGATTTGCGCACAGCGGGAGATGTATTGCCCGGGCGATGCACTTTGATCTGATTTTCATCAATAATAGAAATCGGATGTGATTAATATTTTTTTATGCTATCGCTAACCCCCCTCCCCCTTCCCTACCCCCCAACCATGCATCACATTTAAAGCATTTATACGGCTGATAAATTGGATGAATGTTAAGAATGTGAGCGGAGAGATTAAACGTTGCTGGTCCCTAAGGTTGTGTTTCGTTGGTAAACATTACAAGTCAAATAGCACAGATAGAACTTCTGAGGTGGTACAAATATAAGTGTCTAGTCGTTTACAATCTTGTTTTCATTATAACATTTTGACTCAGGCTCGTCATCAACTTTAAACAGTATGGAAACGCACATTTTAAATGGTATTTTTTTTTAAAAATTATTATATTATCTGTACAATGGACACCTCCCTTGTGTACGCCTACCCAGTGTACATTACCCCCCCCCCCCCCCCCCACACCCAAAAAACTGCAATAGGACATTTCCCCTCAGGTAATTAACCTTTAACCTTACAGAGATAGGGATAGGGATTGTGTTAGAATTAAGGATAGATAGCTGGAGATGATGGGTAAGGAATAAGTATAAAGCGCATTCTTGATGGAGGAGGGGGGGGGGTATTACCCGACGGGAGGGGTATTGACCACCGTATAAAACATACTAATTTTCGTGTGTGATCATATAAGTTTGATAAAATTTGTATCGCTTATATTTTTATCGTGGGACGGTGTGGTCGAAAGGTAGAACGTTTGGTTGCTTACCCGATAGTCTGGAGATCGGATCTCCGTCCGGATTTGAGATTGTAGGACATCCCTGAGTCCACCCAACTCTGATGAGTATCTGACTCACATTGGAGAAAGTATAGGTGGTTAGACAAAGTACTGACCACACCATCCCTTTATTTGCGGATGTCAAGAAACATGAACTCTACTTCATCTACCCTACGAATCACCAGTACTGAAAGTGGAGCTTAACTTTGACTTTCTCTTTGATCATCCTACAGGTACGAGATCCTGAACTACCAGCCTGTGATGAAGCAGGACGGCAACATATCGTACGAGTACGTCACCATAGGTCACTGGATCACCGGTAACCTGACCCTCAATACCAGCAACATGTATTGGCCCAGGTGGAGGGGGCGCAAGCCCGGGGAGAAGGTCCGCTCTATCTGTAGCGAGCCCTGCAAGTGGGGCCAGGTTAAGGTAAGTTTTGGGTGGGGTCGGGTTAAGGTAAGAGCTTGCGCTAGGTAGAGTTAAGGTATGTGTGTGGGGTTACAGTAAGAGTTTGAGTGAGGTGGAAAAGGGGGTTAGGTTACGTTTGTTAGAACTTTGATCTGCCTTAGACTTGATGAGTAATATTGACGCTAAGATTTTTTTAAAGGTATAATTGAAATGTATTTGAGTAATTACTTCATAAGAATCTAATTATAATTCATGTATATTGACTATTAGTGTAAACTAAATTAAGTAAAAAAAATGTTTGAAAAATAAAATATATTTTCGATAGCAGCTAAGATTACCTTTTATTATTGACTAATTAATGAGGTGACAGAAATTACCAGACAATGTGCATTATTGATTATCATCCCTTCTCCTCTATCTCCCTATCCCACCTCTTTTCCCTTCTGTCTCGCCTCCTTCACACCACCATCTTTATCCCACCTCCTCTACCCCACTACCTTACCCCACCACTTCTATCCCATTTATCCCATAATAATCCCACTAATAACACCTTCCTCACCCCGCCTCCTCTTCATCCACCCACATGTACCCCACACACTTGTACCCCACCTCCCCTACCCCACCTACCCGAACACCGTTATCCCATCCCACCTGTACACCAACTCCTCTAACCCCATTTACCCCACCCTATCCCAACTGTACCCCGCCTCCCTACCCCACCCCCTGAACCCCACCCTACCCCCCCCCCCCCCCCAACCTGCCCCCAGAAGGTGCACGGAGAGTCCGACTGCTGTTGGTTCTGTACCATGTGCCTGGAGAACGAGATCCTGACCAAGAACAACACGGAGTGTATGGCGTGCGCCATAGGGATGTGGCCAGACGCCAACAAAACAGGTACTTGGACCAGTTGTCATCATGTCTAGCCATTAGCCTGTATGGGAACACTTCAGAGGCGTAGCGAGAGGGGGGGGGTACATATGTCCCCGGGCGCCGACCTTAGGGGGCGCCAAAATGGGTTGGAAAAACAGATTAAAATGTCATTTTAGCTGCATTTTTGCATTATAGTTTCAGGGGGGTGAAAATCGAAAGTTTGAGGGGGGGGGGGGGTGCTAATCGAACGTATTTTGGGGGGGGGGGTGCAAATTGAAGGTTTGTACCCGGGCGCAGGGAATGGTCGCTACGCCTCTGGAACACTTTAAATCAGGACGTGATTCGACTTTTAACTTGCGATCAGAATTATGACACTTTTCTTAAAATTATGAGGGTTTTTTTTTCAATATAAAAGATGACACGGTGCGGTTGGGCGGTAGAGCGAATAACTGCTAAAACGAAAGTCTCGAGTCAAATCCAAGACTCACCTTTGGATAACCCTGAATCCAAAAAGCTCTGATGGGTGACTCTCCATTTAGGCGGAGGGGCATAGAACTGACCACACAATGTTCTCAGAGGTCGATGAAACATGCCTAATTGGCCGCAAGGTCTAACATGATCCAATTTAATTTTGTTTTACTATCTAAACAACTTACTGTTACTTCTATAGTTGCCAGACAAATGCACGTTGTCAAAACAAAAAGACCAATCGACAGGCAAAGAATAATTTAATTTAAACTAACATTTTGAATTAATTAATAGCGAAAACAATCTAAATAGATTGTTCTCAAATTATTTCCTTTAACGTGTACATCTAGTCTCATTCCGTGTATACATTTCAATCAACATTTATTTTTAAAAAGCAAAACTATTTTTCTGGGCACGTTCCAATTATCTAAAAAAAAAGTTGTAATTTTTTTTTTATTCTGTCGGCCGTTTGGGCAGTCGGCTTTCGGGCGATCGATCTAAGATGCCCCAGGCAGTCCAAATCGAGTGTGCTTTATCACACACATCCGGAAGTCGCCCTACAATTATTTACTCTTTAATATTGATAATCTTATTAATTTCATTGCCCGACGATTTCCGTAGGAGCAGAAGAAAGAAAAAAAATCCGTACCGTCTTGCGTGTAATACCGTATTTATTTTAATAAGTGCAATAAACCCGAGAGATGGGTTTTTTTTACGCTGTCAATATTTGTCTTCTCTACACGCGGTGATCTCGCTTCACATTGATCTGGCGTCAGGCTGATCTGGCGTCAGTGATTGATCTCGCGTCGAGGATCTTCGTGTGACACGTGTTATACATTTTACGTGCAGGGATCTCTAGTGTCCGTTGTAGATCGGGCTAAGTGCTCACGGTGCATGTTGTAGATTGTGTGGGGTGCTCATTAGTGCAAGTTGTAGATTGTACTGAGTGCTCACCAGTGCATGTTGTTGATTATGTGAAGAGCTATAGGTCAGCGTGTAGAAAATGTGGAGTGCTCAAACTACACTTTGTAGATAGTCTAGGGTGCTCACTAGTGCAATTATGTAGATCATAAGTGTATGAAGTGCTAACGGTGCATGTTGTAGATTGTGTGTGTGGGGTGCTCATTAGTGCATATTGTAGATTGTGTGAAGTTCTCCTATTGATACCGATGGCGTAAACCAACTCTTCTAGAAATGGATGTTAGGTCACCTGAAAGTTATTTTTTGAAACCAAACAATTTTTATTCGGCATGGCTATGTCATCTAAAGTGTTTTTTATTTTTTTTTTTTTATTTTTTATTTTACCAGATCAAAGCACAAAAAGACGATTTTTTTCAAAGTTTAATATTAATTAAATTGTGGGCAGTATCGATATTCGCTTTGTATGAAAACTTCCCATCTCATCCACCCTCAACTGTGAAAGATAAAGTATCTCCCCGACCATCAAAACGTACCTAGACACACAAAAATTTGTAGCTGCTGTGCTTCTTTATGGTATATCGCATCAGATCATCAATCTAACTTTAAATAATCCTATTTCTTATTGAAATACGTCGCGTCCCTCCTCACCCCCCCCCCCTACACACACACATATAAATAACGGTACCAACCATCGGCTTTTATCGAGGTAGGGTTGAAATGTATGGGTTAGTGTATGGGTCCGTTTGTGAACCTCGTTTTAACGTTAAAACGTTCGGGTCTAACTGACCGAGCCAACACAAAAAACACCGAGTCGGTAGAGGCCAAGACCTCACGTGCACAATGACGCAGCCCCGTGTATTGATTTAGCGGCCGTTTCATTGAAGACATTTATTTTCGGACCTGTTATAGTGTTGTTATTTTTTTTATTTTTTTAATTACGTTGTACAATACAAAACTTTTGAAAAAAAAACAACCATTGCCTTGTTTCTTAATCCCACGATTCTGAAAAGCTTTTTACAAAAGTGCAGTTGCTTGTTGAAAAATTTTTCAGAGGTCATTTGATCATTCCCGCCCCGCCCCCATTCCCTCACACACCCCTTCACAAACACACACACATACCTTCCATTTAAAGAGGACTGGTTTTTCACTCCCCTGCGTCTAGCCAAATCGAATGCACGTATTGAATTTAATAACTGACCAATGTACCAATCGGTTGAGTGGGAAGCAACGAAATTTTCTGTGTTTATAACAATAGATTTATCAGGGTACCTGTAGAAATATATAAAACTAAAGAGCTGCATAAATCTACGGGGTACTACCTGAAATTCGCGATTACGCTATTCAGGCTTAGCAAATCAGGTCTTCGATCGACCCCGTGCCACCCCCCCCCCCCCCCCACACACACACACACCCGCACATGCACACATCACACACATCCTAATACGATGATGAGATGCTGGCTTCAATTATTTGCTGACTATACTCGAATCTACATCATGGAGCCGATTGCCTTGATTAGGAGCTTTGCTGGTTAAAGAAGGGCGGGGGGGATTTGGAAACCTCTTGGCCAAGTTTAACGTAGGCCTACATGACTGCCGTTTCTAAACTGTGTACGCCCAACGTACTATTGCCGGGATAGAGTGGTCGAATGATAGATCTTATGGCTGCTAACCCGAGAGTAACGAGTTCGAATCCTGAACTCGAGTTTGTTAGACATCCCCGAGTCCACCCATCGTTAATGGGTACTTGACTCACTTAAGGGAAACTTTTAGCGGCTGGGTATAGTGCTGGTCACAGTATTCCCATGTATGCCGAGGTTAATGAAACAGATGAACTCTACTTTATCTGTCCCATTGGTCTTGGGCACGAACAGGAAAATATGATGATTATTATTAACGTAACTATCTTTTTCTTCTTCTTCGTTCTTAATTATTAGTGTTGAAGGGGATCGAGACTTTTGTTCTATCTAACTAGGTGGAATAATTTTGTTCAAATCTACTCTTGCAGTTTGTGAGAAGACCTATAATCAGTGTATCACCCCCCCCCCCCCCCCCCCCAAAAAAAAACAACAACATAAAGCATTGTTATTGATCTCGATATTTTTATAGTGTACTAATTCTCACTGTGTTCAATGTATCCCTTACAGGCTGTGAGAAGATCTCTAATCATTTCACGTCCAAGAGTTATCATTAACCCAACTGTTCTCAAAATGTACTAATTCTCACTCTGTTCAATTCATCCCACCCAGGCTGCGAAGAGATCCCGCGTTACTTCATCAGCTGGGTCGAGACCGGAGCTATCGTCTGCATCACCGTGGCCTGTCTGGGCATCTGCGTGACCCTGTGGGTGTTCGCCATCTTCATGAAGTACAACGACACGCCCATCGTCAAGGCGTCCACCCGAGAGCTCAGTTACATCATCCTGGTGGGGATCTGTCTGGCCTTCAGCTCAAACTTCTTCATCGTCGCCAAGCCGGCTAAGGAGTTTTGTTACCTCACAAGGTCTGTCTTTCTGTTTGTCTTCCTGTCTGTCTGTCTTTCTGTCTGTCTGTCTGTCTGTCTGTCTTCCTGTCTTCCTGTCTGTCTATATTCCTGTCTGTCTATATTCCTGTCTGTCTGTCTGTCTTTCTTCCTGTCTGTGTGTCTTCTTGTCTTCCTGTCTTCCTGTCTGTTTATCTTCCTGTTTTTCTGTCTTCCTGCTTTTCTGTCTTTCTGTCTGTCTTTCTTCCTGTCTTTCTAACTTTCTGTTTTCTTGATTTCCTGTATTTTCATTTCAATTCACAAGACCGCAATATAAAATAGGCTTTAGTAAATAAGTGTCCCATCGAGCAGATGAAGTAGAGTTCTTCTGTTTCTCTAACCTCGCTTGACGTGTAAAGAGATTGTGTGGTCCCCACATGTTCCCAGCTGCCTTAACTTTTCCCTACTTAAGTCGGGTACTCAGCGCGGCTGACTTGACTCAGCGACGTCCTACTTATTCCAGCTTGTGATTCGAACGCGTGACTTTCGGAATAGTAATAGAGTTCAACTAGATGTATTAAAGTTTACGTGTTAAAGTTAGACGCGTTTATGGATGTTAAACCGAGCGTTAGAAAGAAGAATAAATATTAAGTGAGTTGCAGCGTAGATTAGTGTTTACAAAATCTTAAGCAGAACAAAAACTGATAGGGTGAAGTAATAGGGAGGTAGAGATATTGGTTTTCAACATACACAAGTAAAGTTCCCTTTTCGATTTTCGAAAATGACATTCCGTGGGGCAAGGAAAATATAGTTCACCTGTTTCTGTGACCTCGGCATATTAAGGGCATATTATAGTGTGGTCCGCAATAAGCCGCCGTGACTATCCCTAACGTGAGTTATGTGTCCATAAGAGCTTAGTGTACTCAGAGACGTTCTAATGAATTAAACCCGGATACGATACATTAGAGTTAGCAGATTTTAAAGTTTCCGAACTAATCGTTAAGGAATACATATGTATTGAAGTATTTCATTCTACTTCAACTACCTTTTCTTTCATTAAGCCAGAAAGTTTATTTTACTTTTTTTTAACAAACTCCGCTTTATTTCTTTTGATAAAGTTTATATTTCCTTAAACATTTTATACTCTTAAAATTGTGTTTTTATTTTTATTTGTTCTTAAAAAAAACATTTACAACGAAATTAACTAGAAAAAAAAACCCATTAAATTGTATTACATTTTTTTAAGTCTGAAAAATCCCGTCTTGCATCTTACATTAATTCAACACCATCGAACATTCTCGAATTCCACTACACCCTGATAAATCCGAAAAACCCCAGACCATTTCAAGCCCTCTCTCCCTCCCATCATAGTTCTGAGGTCTGAGCTCTTGGCTCGGTAATTAGACTAATATGTTAACTCGTTACTTTAAAAAAAGGGAGAGAAGAGACGAAGAACAAAGTACCCCGGAGTAACCGGAAGTGTTCTCGAAAACCAAACAGACCGGCTTCTCAAGCAGGCTTAGCAGTTAACTAGGTCGGTAAAGCAAAGATAAAAACGGCAAACGCCAAATCGTCTCAATGGTAACGATGCGTTGCCATGGGAGACGGGATCTTCCGGTCAATACATAAATCTAGAAATATAAGGTTGAAGAATCTGTTTTAATTAAATATAACTCATTAGCAATTAAAATATAAATCTTTATTTTGTATATTGTATTTTCTAAATTGTGGTTAATATATTATCTTGTATTTAATTAACAATCTAACCAATCATTTCTCTGTAGGATTATACCCGGGTTAAGTTTTTCATTAATGTATGGGGCGCTGGTGACTCGGACCAATCGGATTGCGAGGATTCTGGAGGGCAGCAAGAGAATAATGACCAAAAAGCCTAGATTTATGAGCGCCACTGCTCAGGTATGCTCAATTTTTAAATCATTGTATCATCTTGCTTGTTTTATGATATTTTTATTTTGTTTAAAACAGTTTTTGATAAGTATTTCTGTTTTTAAATAGCTAGTTTTATTCGAATATGGTTTCAGCAGCTTTAACTTTCTAGAAATTTCTTTAAAAAAAAATAGTCATAGAAGAATTTCTTAAATACTTGGTTTTATAAAAAGAAAAAAATATTTTTAAAATTATATTTACATGAAACTTTTTTTTAGCCAACTTAAGTCAAGCCACTGCAATACTTGTTGTAGCAAGCCACCCTATTGTAAAATACATTGTATTCACTTTAAATTGTTTTGTCCGAATTTTGGCTTCTGAACTACTCATTATGAATTTTATTTCTATAAAAGTTGTTTTAGTTTTGGTCATGGTAGTTTCAGCTTACTTTTGCCTTCTCCGTCAACACTTATTTATAATTTGAAACTCCTTACTACGGGAATATAATAAATATAAATAAATGAGCATAGTTCTGAATATGGACTAACAGGATCGTGAAGTTTCGTTTTGTTTTGAGCTGCTCGCCATAAAAAAAATAGCTTTATGTAAAATTGTCGAATAATTATAATTATAATTTTTTTTCTTTTTTTTTTAACTTACTTAATTTTTTTTTTTTGCTTTCTGTTCTAAATTTCTTTTTCTTCTCTGGCTAAAATTTTGGTTTAGTTGTTTTTTTTTCTGATTAAAAAAAGTAATGAGTAATTGCTCTGATTGTCTGTTATTGTTTTTTTTTTATTTCCACTTTCACTTTGCCCTTCTCCTCTAGGTCGTCATTACCGGCATGATTATAGGCATCGAGTCGGCAGTCATCATCGGAATGTTGGTGTACGAGCCGGCAAATTCAACGCTCGATTTTCCGACCGTGCGGAAGGTGCGATTAATCTGCGATACTTCAACGCTGGGGATCGTCGTGCCGCTTGGATTCGATCTCGTGCTCATACTTCTATGCACGATCTACGCCGTGAAGGTAAGTGTACGGGTGAATAGGTTGAAAGGCAAGGCTGTATACGTCAATAGGCAACACGTTCGGACTTACCAAAGTTACAATAATTAAAGAATGTAGGGGTCGGCGTGGTCGAGTCGGTAAAGGTCATGGTTGCTAAACCGAAAAGTCTTGAGTTCTAATCCTAGGGCAGATGAGGATCGTTAGCTGGGGACAACCACTCTTCTAGGAGAGACAACTCCAAAATCAAACAACTGCTGCCTTGTAGTTCGTTCTTGGTTGGACAAAGGCTGTAGAAGCAAATCAAAAAAGGAAGCAGGCTGAAATCGGAGTCAATGGCTTCAATGGCGCATAACAAGTTGACACGTAATACTTAAATGTGTTCGAGGGGATCCCTTCCAACACTAAAATTAAGAACGAAGAAGAAGAAGATAGCTTGTATTGTGTCTACCAACACAATGTTCATTAATACTGTTATTTGGTTGATGGAAATTTAAAAGAAAGACATTTTTAAAAAATGTCAACACCCTACCATTGCAATTGTTCGGTTAAATGTGAGCAGGGCATCTTCGCTGAACTTTCCAGAGTTTATTCAGTTCTTATAGAAACCTGACTCTAGACGAAGAAAGAAAGAGAACTTAGGCATAATGCTGTCCTTACTTAAATTCAAATCAATCTCGTACAAAGGAATAGCACCAAGTATATTTGAAAACTTGCGTACATTAAATAACTTGAAAATCTAGTGGATTAAATGTCTGGAAATTCGTAATCTTTATATATAAACACCTTGCATTTAACTTTATATACCACTGGTTTAAATGTCAATTAAGCTCTACGAGAGAGTCCGGCTTTCAGTCTACTTTAAGCTCCCTACCACATCAGTATCTGTTCTTTACATCACTTGCTGGAGATATATTTGTCAGAGTTAGGTTTGTAATGCTACTGTAAGGCCCCCTATCCAATCATCAATCTGTTCTTTATATCCGACTAGACACGGAAATTGCCGGAGATAGGCTTGTCAGAGATAGGTTTGTTAGAGTTAGGTTTGTCAGAGATAAGTTTTTTAGAGTTAGGTTTGTCAGAGTTAGGTTTATCAGAGGTAAGTTTGTCAGAGTTAGGTTTGTTAGAGTTAGGTTTGTTAGAGTTAGGTTTGTAATGCTACTTTAAGGCTCCTACTGCGTCATTTTCTCCAACCTACCAGTGATAGGTTTTTAGAATAGAGGTTTGTCCGAGAAAGGTTTGTGAGGCCACTTTAGGGCCTCCTACTACATCATCAATCTGTTCTTTGCCCCCCCCCCCCCCCCCCACTAGACACGGAACTTACCAGAGATAGTTTTGTCAGTGATAGGTTTATCATATAGGTTTGTCAGAGATAGACTTGGCAGAGATAGGTTTATCACAGATAGGTTTATCACAGATAGGTTTATCATAAATAGGTTTGTAAGGCTACCTTAAGCCTCCCTACCTCATCATTAATTTGTCCTTTTCCCCCCACTAGACACGGAACTTGCCCGAGAACTTCAACGAGGCCAAGTTTATCGGCTTCACCATGTACTCGACCTGCGTCATCTGGCTGGGGTTCTTCCCCATATACTTCGCTGGGGAGAGTAAGGAGATCACCCTCAGCATATCCGTCTCCCTGAGTGCCGCCATCGCCTTGTTGCTGCTCTTTGGTCCTAAGGTGAGTACCCGTCGTCTGATTAAGGCTGTTGAGTGGTGAGTACCCGTCGTCTGATTAAGGCTGTTGAGTGGTGAGTACCTGTCGTCTTTGGTCCTAAGGTGAGTACCCGTCTTCTGATTAAGACTGTTGAGTGGTGAGTACCCGTCGTCTCATTAAGACTGTTGGTTGGTGGGCATTCGTCGTCTGATTAAGCTGTTGGTTAGTGAGTACTCGTCGTCAGTTTAAGACAGCTGTTGCTCAAGACGCTGCTCATATGAAAACAGTAAAAAGAAATGTAGACTTGACATATCCTTCGGGGAATTTTTTTTACAATTTAAGTTATCAGAATAGTGTTAATGATTTCTATTCAATACTTTTAAGCCGAAATAATTAAGCTAATGGCTTGTTACTGAAATAAAAACAAAGTTACCAATCAGGGCGATTGGATATAGCTTCATTTTGGTATTTCGGCAGTATATATAGACTATATATAAGTATTTTAGGCATAAATATATATATATATATTTATAGATAGATATATATTTATAGATAGATATATATTTATATATATATAGTTATTTATTTAGTTATTTATTTATATATGTATGTATGTTTGTATGCATACATATATGCAACTTAATGGGTGTACGCAGTGGCGTAGCGAGGTCGGGTGTCACCCGGTGCTGCACTTAATGGTGTCACCCCCAGAGGCGTAACGACCCTTCCCGGGGACAAACTTTCAAATTTTCCATTTGCACCCCGCCACCCCCCCCTCAAACTTTCGATTTGCACCCCCCCTCAAATTTTTCTCTATATATTTTGCTATTTTTTGCCTTGGTGTCATCCCTCTAAATGGTGTCACCCGGTGCGGAATCACCCCACGCCCCCCTCGCTACGCCTATGGGTGTACGTGTCACCAGTATGCTAATTACCTGGTGTAATTACCTGGTGTAATTAGCTGGTGTAAGCATGTGTACACGTGTGTTTAGTTAAAAATGTGTAGGCCTACGTACAGGTGTGTTGTTCCACAGGTGTATGTGATTGTGTGGGTGCCAGAAAAGAACACCCGGGGAGCGTTCACGACGTCCAGAGATGTCAGATGTCATATAGGGTCAAAGTCCATGACATCTGGTGACAGTATTGACATCAAGTAAGTTTTTAACTTTTATTTAACTTTTTTTTAAACATTATTTTCTTATATTTTTACCTTTATCAACGAAAAAAAATAATAGAAGATTTATCTTACTCAATTTGTTTTTTTTTAAACCTTTATAATTCTTTTTTTTAAAAAGTATTTTCCTCTATTTTTATCGACGAAAAAAAAAACAATGTAAGATTTATCTTACTCAAGTTTTTTTTTTTTTTTACCTTTTTTGCTTCGTATTTAATTTAAAAAGTATTTTCATCTATTTTTTATTTGTATCAACTAAAAATTGTCTTACTCTGAACGATGATTTAGAGATAGCCCATTGTGCAGTACATGGATGATAAACAGGCTATTAGCTTTTAAAAAGCTGTTTCTTGTACTATTTTTATCATCATTGTAACTGCGATTTAAATACCTTTTTAAAGTGTTCAGATTATATTTTTGTACAAGATTTTGACGATGTCCGATATTTATAGTTGTCTAGCCTACACTCGGCCAGTCGACTCGCCTTTTTTCTTGAGATGATCCCATCGTCTTTTTATCATTCAACCCCTCCGTCCTTCTACCATAGGACCCCCCCTGTCCGTAGCTAACTAGACGACCCCTCCGTCCTTCTAACATAGGACCCCCCTGTCCGTAGCTAACTAGACGACCCCTCCGTCCTTCTACCATAGGACCCCCCTGTCCGTAGCTAACTAGACGACCCCTCCGTCCTTCTACCATAGGACCCCCCTGTCCGTAGCTAACTAGACGACCCCTCCGTCCTTCTACCATAGGACCCCTCTGTCCGTAGCTAACTAGACGACCCCTCCGTCCTTCTAACATAGGACCCCCCTGTCCGTAGCTAACTAGTCGACCCCTACGTCCTTCTATCATAGGACCCCTCTGTCCGTAGCTAACTAGACGACCCCTCCGTCCTTCTAACATAGGACCCCCCTGTCCGTAGCTAACTAGACGATCCCTCCGTCCTTCTACCATAGGACCCCCCCTGTCCGTAGCTAACTAGACGACCCCTCCGTCTCTCTACCATAGGACCCCTCTGTCCGTAGCTAACTAGACGACCCCTCCGTCCATCTATCATACGACCCCTCTGTCCGTAGCTAACTAGACGACCCCTCCGTCCATCTATCATAGGACCCCCTTGTCCGTAGCTAACTAGACGACCCCTCCGTCCATCTATCATACGACCCCTCTGTCCGTAGCTAACTAGACGACCCCTTCGTCCTTCTATCATACGACCCCTCTGTCCGTAGCTAACTAGACGACCCCTTCGTCCATCTATCATAGAACCCCCTTGTCCGTAGCTAACTAGACGACCCCTCCGTCCATCTATCATAGGACCCCTCTGTCCGTAGCTAACAAGACGACCCCTCCGTCCATCTATCATAGGACCCCTCTGTCCGTAGCTAACTAGACGACCCCTCCGTCCTTCTACCATAAGACCCCTCTTTCCGTAGCTAACTAGACGACCCCTCCGTCCATCTATCATAGGACCCCTCTGTCCGTAGCTAACTAGACGACCCCTCCGTCCTTCTACCATAGGACCCCTCTGTCCGTAGCTAACTAGACGACCCCTTCGATCCTTCTACCATAGGCCCCTCTTTCCGTAGCTAACTAGACGACCCCTCCGTCAATCGACCAGACGACCCCCATCGTCCATCAACTAGGTGACCCCACCGTCCGTCTACATAATGACCCTACCTTCCTCAACAAGACGACCCCTTTATCCCTCTGAATGTTCGCTTCTTCTTTCTTCTACCAAACGACGACCACTTTCTTACATGAGACTCTACATCCGTCGTGTACCTTACGACCCCTCCGTCCTGTTACCTTACGACCCCTCCGTCCCTGTACCTTACGACCCCTCCGTCCTTGTAACTTACGACCCCTCCGTCCATGTACCTTACGACCCCTCCGTCCTTGTACCTTACGACCCCTCCGTCCTTGTACCTAACGACCCCTCCGTCCTTGTACCTTACGACCCCTCCGTCCATGTACCTTACGACCCCTCCGTCCTTGTACCTAACGACCCCTCCGTCCTTGTACCTGACGACCCCACCGTCCCTGTACCTTACGACCCCTCCGTCCTTGTACCTGACGACCCCTCCGTCCTTGTACCTGACAACCCCTCCGTCCCTTACCTGACCACCCCTCCGTCTGTTACCTGACGACCCCTCCGTCTCTTACCTGACGACTCCTCCGTCTCTTACATGACGACCCCTCTTTCTCTCTACCTGACGACCCTACATCCCTCGAAAAACGTGTGTCTTTTATCTTTGTATCAATTCTCCAACTCTCAACTTTCTCAATAAACTCTAACATTAAAATCACTGAACCAAAAACAATCCGAAAACACTGCCCACAATCCATCGCTAGCCCGTCAAGTCACACAACACAAGTTTTTTTTTCTTTCTAGCAATCAACTCACGCCGAGTTCAAGGTCTCGCTATAAAAATAGATGTATCAGACGATAAACGACCTTAGCCTACCGATATGTATCGAAATACCGTTAGAGTAAACTCGCGTCTAGAACTTATGCTTGACTAAAAATCTCGCCCCAGATATAAGTCGTAAGTTAGAGTTCCAGCACAGAAGTTATAAGAAAAAAAAATATGGCAGTACAATTATTAACAGTAGTGCTGGGTTTGGTCCATCCTTGTCAGATCTCTATGATTCGTGTCGCGGAAAATTTGAGAGGGGTTTGGTTCAAAGGAATACCTAGATAATTAACATTATTTTTGTGTTATAGAAATCAATTTCGGTGGAGTTATTGTCTGTATTTCATTTCGTTTAATAGTTTGGTTATTTTAAGAATATAAATACTTTGTGAAAAACTATAAAAAGAAATTCATTGAAAGCTAGATAATTAATTATTCCTAATTAATAATTCCTAATTTTCAAATTAACATAATGATCCCACACGGTATAATTGTAATATAGATGGATAAATAAAATGTCATTGATTGAAACTGAAACTAGTTACCATTTTGTTGGTAAGGGACTGAACTCTGGATGTGATGGGTAAGGGACGGAACTCTGGATGTGATGGGTAAGGGACGGAACTCTGGATGTGATGGGTAAGGGACGGAACTCAGGATGTGATGGGTAAGGGACGGAACTCTGGATGTGATGGGTAAGGGACGGAACTCTGGATGTGATGGGTAAGGGACGGAACTCTGGATGTGATGGGTAAGGGACGGAACTCTGGATGTGATGGGTAAGGGACGGAACTCTGGATGTGATGGGTAAGGGACGGAACTCTGGATGTGATGGGTAAGGGACGGAACTCTGGATGTGATGGGTAAGGGACAGAACTCTGGTTGTAATATAAGGGACAGAACTCTGGTTGTAATATAAGGGACGGAACTCTGGATGTGATGGGTAAGGGACAGAACTCTGGTTGTAATATAAGGGACAGAACTCTGGTTGTAATATAAGGGACAGAACTCTGGTTGTAATATAAGGGACGGAACTCTGGTTGTAATATGAGGGACGGAACTCTGGTTGTAATATAAGGGACGGAACTCTGGTTGTAATATAAGGGACGGAACTCTGGTTGTAATATAAGGGACGGAACTCTGGTTGTAATATAAGGGACGGAACTCTGGTTGTAATATAAGGGACGGAACTCTGGTTGTAATATAAGGGACGGAACTCTGGTTGTAATATAAGGGACGGAACTCTGGTTGTAATATAAGGGACAGAACTCTGGTTGTAATATAAGGGACAGAACTCTGGTTGTAATATAAGGGAACGGAACTCTGGTTGTAATATAAGGGACAGAACTCTGGTTGTAATATAAGGGACGGAACTCTGGTTGTAATATAAGGGACGGAACTCTGGTTGTAATATAAGGGACAGAACTCTGGTTGTAATATAAGGGACAGAACTCTGGTTGTAATATAAGGGTGGGAACTCTGGTTGTAATATAAGGGACAGAACTCTGGTTGTAATATAAGGGACAGAACTCTGGTTGTAATATAAGGGACTGAACTCTGGTTGTGATTGGTAAAGGACGGAACTCTGGTTGTAATATAAGGGACAGAACTATGGTTGTAATATAAGGGACAGAACTCTGGTTGTAATATAAGGGACTGAACTCTGGTTGTAATATAAGGGACAGAACTCTGGTTGGGATTGGTAAAGGACGGAACTCTGGTTGTAATATAAGGGACAGAACTCTGGTTGTAATATAAGGGACTGAACTCTGGTTGTAATATAAGGGACAGAACTCTGGTTGGGATTGGTAAAGGACGGAACTCTGGTTGTAATATAAGGGACAAAACTCTGGTTGTAATATAAGGGACGGAACTCTGGATTTCATGGGTAAGGGACGGAACTCTCGGTGTGCTAAAGATTTTATTAGCCTTTGAGCGTGATTTTAAAATATATGAAATATTTGAAATCAAGATAATCATGTTTAAACAATATAAAGGAGCTTCAAAATATTTCAGTAAAACATAATGCAACTAGGAAAAACATTTCTACTTTCTACACACCACTTTCTCCTTCCTACTTTAGTCTTTCTAATTTCTACTTTCTACTTTCTATATTCTACTTTCTACACTCTACTTTCTACACTCTACTTTCTACACTCTACTTTCTTCACTCTACTTTCTACTTTCAACACTCTACTTTTTACACTCTACTTTCTACATTCTACTATCTTCACTCTACTTTCTACTTTCAACACTTTACTTTTCACACTCTACTTTTCACACTCTACTTTCTACACTCTACTTTCTCCTTTCTACCCACTACTTTCCACTCTCGACTTTCCACACTCTACTTTCTTCACTTACTCTCCACGATGTAAATTTTAGACTCTAATTTCCCCACTATTTTTAACTATCTACTTTCTACAATCTAGTTTCTACACTCTACTTTACACTCTACTTTCAACTCTCTAGTTTTAACTCTCTATTTTCTACACTCTTATTTCCTCTCTATACTTTCTATACTTCCTCCCATGTTATCTCTCTTTCTCTCTCTCTCTCTTCCCT